GGTGTCAGAGCTCCCTGTCCCAGTGAGCTCAGCTTTGAGCAGCAGGCAGAGGATTCCCAGCATGGCAGGGATCTGCCCCACCCATCCTGGTTGCTCTGGTTTGGCTGAGCCGCTGCCAGACGCTGCTGAGTGAAGATTCCCAGAGCAGGAGCACATTCCCAGACAGCTGGCACAGCCCTGCCTGTCACCAGGAGCTTGGAGCTGTCTCTGGAGACTCCAGGGAAGGTGTAGGGCTGAGCCATTCCCTTCCCACTGCCCCCGTGAGATGTGTGGGAGGGGAGGGAGGGGAATTGTGTGCACAGAATTGTCCAGAATTTCACCTATCCCTTAAAGCAACAGCTGGATCCTGAACAGGGGAGGGAACCGGTGGGCAGGAGCTCTCCAAGGTCAGCAGCTTTCTTGCATGTTTTATTGGAGTCCTATTTCCTCTCATCCATCCAGGGCAAGGAATTACAGCTCCCTTCTCTGCCCCACAGCTTCTCCACACCGGTGTGTGTGGGGACAGCTCTATTTGGGTGTTTTCCAGCCCCCTCTGGTCACCTGCCCCAGCTGTGGTGGGTGTGGAGCACGGTGGTCTGGATGAACTGGCAGAGGCAGGGGATGCTGCTGTGGCCCAGGTGTGTCCCTGGCCCGGCCCGAGGGAGCCGGCCCGTCACCAGGAGCCGGACGTAGCATCCACTGAAAATCACCAGGAGCTGCTGGGCCATGGCCTGGAGGGAACAAGAGAGGAGTCAGAGCATCGCTGTGGGCAGAGCAGAGCACACATCAAACACCATTTTCTCCCTGCTTCAAGGACTGTCCTACTCTGTCAGGAGCAGGACAGCAGCCAATGGCACAGATAAGTGGCCCAGATCCCCTTGTGGCCAGCACACTGTCCCCACGGGGGGGTGACACCAAATGACCGCTGGCCCACGGGTGGCCCTGGGGACCTGCCCGCTCTGTCCCTGCCTCCTCAGGCTTGTTTTTGCCTGTGGACAGCCAGAGAGCCTCAATCTGCAGGGATGTCACCTGCACTGAATTCCCTTAGTGACAGGAAAACAGTAAAATAAATCAAAATCACCCCTTTGGTAGCTCCGTGCTGAGCGGGAATCAGGACACATTTGTTGCTCAGCGTGACACAAGTCTTTGAAGGCACTTTCCATGGAGGAGACAAAGGCTGGGCTCATCCATGGCTCAGCCCCAGCCTGGACAGGGGCACCAGGTCCCTGGGGAGAGGTTTTCATCCAAACAGGACCCTTGGGATCACCAAGGAGAGCCCAATCCATTAATTCCTCAAGGATTATCCTCAGCTGCTCAGAGAGCTTTGACAGCTCGGCAGCACCAGTGCTGGAGAAGGTGTGTGTGGACTCCCAGGTGCTTCTGCTGGAGAAAAAGGTGGTGTCCCCCATGGCTGAGATGAGTTTTGGAGCTAAGATGCCTTGGGGGGATATTTCTCCTCACCTCGGGTGGGCCCTCGGGGATGAGGTGCAGGAACTCATTGCAGGTCACAGGGTTTTTATTCAGGGTCACCCTGCTGGATAAAAGAGGGGATTCTTCACATGGAGCCTCCTCCTCCACCCCCAGCTCGGGCTGAACTGCCACATCCATGGCCACACAGAGCTTGTCCAGCCTGTGCCTCAAGCCTGCCTGGAAGAGAAGGAGATTTTGGGGCTCTCCAAGGGCAGGCAGCAGCAGTGTCCTGAGCACAGCCTTTACAGGGCACCACTTCCTCCTGCATGGTTTTTATTCCCAGGATTTCCCATCCCAGGCAGCAGTAGTGCCCTGAGGACAGAGTTTAAAAGGCACAATTTCCTCCTGCACGTTTCCCACCCCTGAGATTTCCCATGCCCAGCACTTGGAGCTGGGTGTCCGTCCCATGGCCTGGCAGTGTCCACAGCCTGGCATGGAGAATCCTGTCTTTAAAAACTCCATTATCCCATCCCCTGTGTGAGAATGGTGGAGCTGCTGTCCATCCCTGAGCTGCAGCTTTCAGGGAGATGAGCAGCCTGCAGATTTCAGAGGACTCTCAGCTCTCACCCCACAAAGGCAGTTCAGTGGATATTTACACACCCACAGAGAGCAAAACATTTTCTGAAGGCCGAGAGGACAAAATTTTTATGTAATTAACTCAATCCAGCAATTCCTGCTCCTCCAGGCTATCCCACTTATTCCAGGAGGACAGCTCAAGGTGGAAGCTGTTTCAAGGTGTGCCACGTGCTTCCAAAATTTTCCTTTCATTCCTGATGACTTTCTATCATTAAAGCTGTACAGTTAAT